CTTAAACTAATTCCCTGCAAAGTGTTAGCAGATGAGGTTTAAATATCATTTATACTAAGGCTGCTAGGGATTTACTAGCCACCTAGATATAAAGAGAGAAATTTAATGGTGAAATTTCATGTCTTAAGACAAGTAGTAAAACTTTCTTTCCCTCTTTTTTCTTCTTCTTTTTCTTTAAACCCATGATCCCCCAAGGCAATGCCTCTACCAGGATGGTGGTTTTGAAGCAGGAGGTTTGTTCCCTAGGGCATGGGGAGGGGTTTCTTATCAAAAGTTTGTTTGTAACCTCTTGGTAAGAGTGGAAAAGAACAAGCTGTAATCAATGGACTGTTTAAAAATTACTAAGGACCTCACGTAACCAACACAGGCCCTTCCTACACGCAGGGAGGAAACAGGGCTGCGGTTTTCTGCTCGCTTTCTGGGTTTCCATTCATTGTTGTGTCAGTCCAGGAGGAACACACTGAAGGCAGTGATCCTTCCTCCCACTCTCCGTGGAAGACGATGGATGTTCAGGAAAATTCGGGGACCCAGAGAAAGTCTCCCAGTTAACATGTGGATTCAAATCTTAACTTGCCTGACCCCAAAGCCCAACTTCATGTCCATAGAGTGTTCTACCACGTGACCATTAAACATGGGATGGAAGGAGACTTCTTTCTTATTTTCCTTTTTTGTGGACTAGGTAAAACATATTCGTGACAAATTCAAATACACAGTCACAAATAGGTGTCTGTCCTTCCATGCCTCCATTCCACCTCGCCACACTCCCGCTGGCCGCCATCGTCAGCGTTTGCTGTGTATTCTTTCAGGAATATTTTGTGCTTTTATACATGTATATGTATATATCCTTTTTGCCCCTCATGTAAATGATAGTGCACCACACACACCACTGAGTCTGTCTTTTTTCACTTAATAATGTATTGGAGATGAGCTAAATAATCCCTTTTAACAGCTGCAGGTTGGGAATACTTTCAGTTGTATGCATGTAGTACCATAATTTTATTTAGCTGAAATCGATTTACTTAAGCGATATGCTTATCTAACTGAGATTGAGGAATTTTAACAGAGATTATATTGTCAAATGACTGTATTTTTGTCAATGTAGCCAGCCTTAAAAACTTGATGTCTCAGAACTGGAATGAGCATACAGCCTCCCAGAATGACTGAAGAGCAGGTACATTTTTGAAGAAAGTTGTCTTGTGTTTTAAAAATATATTACCAGCCCTAGACGGTTTGGCTCAGTGGATAGAGCGTCATCTGCGAACTGAAAGGCCCCAGGTTCAATTCCAGTCAAGGGCACATGCCCGGAGTGTGGGCTCGATCCCTAGTGGGAGACTTTCAGGAGGCAGCCGATCCATGATTCTCTCTCATCATGGATGTTTCTATCTCTCTCTCCCTCTTCCTTCCTCTCTGAAATCAATTAAAAAAATATATATATTATCACTTCTAACATGTGTGTCTACACACACACACACACACACACACACACACACACCATTTGAATGAAAGGTTACTAAAGAAAGAGACAAATGACTAAAGATATTCAAGAAAATTTAGCAATACAGGATCCTTCTGCCTTTTTTATAGTGATTGAACAATGAAACACGGTCTGTGGTCTGTCTAGACCTCAAGTCTTTTTCTTTAAAGTAGGATGAGATGGATCAGTAAGAAAAACAGAAATAGATCATCCTTCCAGGAGAGAAACAGAAGGAAATAATAACAAAAGAAGGAATTCTATAATCTCTAAAGATAAAGAGGGAAATTTCTTTCTAATCCAGTAAATGTCAATCTCTTTGGATAGAAGGAATTCTTTCGAACTTGATGTGAATACTGGTCTGCTTTCTATGTTGACACCTTATTAAGATAAATTCAAACTTTAAAACTGTTCAGAATTCCCTCAAAGGTGGAATTTATATCCTGTTAACTTTGAATGCTCTTTAGAAGTTCCAGGGAGCATGGAGAGAGAAAGAGAGAGAGAGAGAGAGAGAGAGAGAGAGAGAGAGAGAGAGAGAATGAGAACATAGTAGTTATTTCCCCAATATCCACTTACATTTAAGGTCAGGCCCTGTCTAGGAATTTCTAGGATTTTAGTGGAACATCTGTGATGATGAGACTTTCAAATATTCCACATAGTTTCATTTTTCATCTATTAGTTTAGGTTTTTCTATTCAAATGGCAAGTCTATTAAGTATTAATATCTATCCAATATTTCCAGTACGGTACTTTTATTTCCACATTTGTGCTGTTAATGGAGTTTTGACCTATTTTTAGACCCCCTCCCAATCGATTGCGAGCAGCTGTTGGGTCTGGAAGTCCAGGGACGTGGAGGCTGGTGCTCTGCAGCACCACCATCCTCCTGCTCCTCCCCACACCACGCAGTAACACTCACCACATCCCGCCCCATCTCCCACTCCCCTTCTCCCTCACCGAAAGGCTGTGCTACACGCTTCTGGGAAGGTGCGGGCCACTTGCATTTGCAGGTTGCAAAGGACCTCAGAAGTAATGAGACTGAAGCATAGGGGCAGCGAATGACCTCCCCAGGAATGCCCTTTATAGCAAAGAATCTAATTCAAGGACACATGCGGCACTCCATTGTTTGTCTCTAGTGTCTTTATTCTGGAGCAGGTCCTCAATCCTTTTATGACCTTGACGGTTTTGAAGATTATACTCCTGTCATTCTGTAGGATGTCCTTCACTTTGTGTTTTTCTGACATTGTCTTATGATTGGACCCTGGTACATCTTGGGCTGAGAGATCATGGATGCTGTGTTCTTTTCATTGCATTTTATTGAGAGACAAATTGCATGGGGTGTCTACTTGTCTTGTTACTAGTGGTATTAACTTTGACCTCTTAGTTAAGATTGTGGTGTCTGCCTTGTCTCTCTACTGTAAAGTTATTTTTCCCTTTGTTATGAAAAAATATCTTGTGTGGAGAGATACTTTTAGACTATATAAAGTCTCATTCTTCACTCCACTTTCACCCACTAAGTTTGGCATCTATTGATGTTTCTTTCAAGAATTAGTTATTACTAGAATGGTGGCTACTATGGTGGCTTTCTAATTCCATCATTTTTCCCCCCCTGTATTTATTGGCTGGCTTCCTACTTTAAGAATGAGATTTCTCTTCTTTTCATTCATTCATATCAGTGTGGACTTAAGAATTCCTTCTTAGCAAATGTATTATAATCCATTACTGTTATTATTTATTTCGATGCTCAAATTGTTTCAGATTTGGTCAGTGGGAACTCCTTCAAATTGGCTTTGGAGCCATGCCCCCTAGATCTGTATTCTTTTATTAAAACTCTATTTACAAGGCATAGGTTAAGCACTCGGGCTTTGAAATCACCAAAATCTTGGTTAAAACCCTGGCTTTGTCTTATCTTAGTTGACCGATATTGGGCAAGTTGTGTGCCTTGCTGTGCCTCGTTTACTTATTCGTAAAGTGGAATTAGGATTTATTTTATAGGTCGTAAGAATTATAGGAGATAATGTGCTGTATTTAAGAGATGTGACGCGTGCTTAGTCTGCAATAAATGGTAGCTATTTTAAATAATTATGAGCCACACTATTCTCACCTTTAAACTTTTAAAAAAATTTATTGATTTTGAGAGAGAGAGAGAGAGAGATTTGTTTCACTTATTTATACATTCATTGGTTGATTCTTTTTTTTTAACAGTAAGTTTAGCTTGAGATGTCTAATTCTTTTTTTAAAAAAAATATTTTATTGATTTTTTACAGAGAAGAAGGGAAGGGAATGGAGAGTTAGAAACATCGATCAGCTGCCTCCTGCACACCCCCTACTGGGGATGTGCCTGCAACCAAGATACATGCCCTTGACCAGAATCGAACCCGGAACCTTTCAGTCCTCAGGCCAACGCTCTATCCACTGAGCCAAACCTGTCAGGGTGATTGGTTGATTCTTGTATGTGCTCTGACCAGGGATCAAACCTATAACCTTGGCATATATGGATGACGCTCTAATCAACCGAGTATCTGGCCACAGCTTATTTTCATCTTTTAAAAAATATTTATTTTTTAAAATGTATTTTTATTGATTTCAAAGAGGAAGGGAGAGGGAGAGAGAGGTAGAAACATCAATGATGAGAGAGAATCACTGGTCAGCTGCCTCCTGCACACCCCCCACTGAGTATCAAGACTGCAACCCGGGCATGTGCCCTGACAGAAATCGAATCCTGACCTCCTGGTTCATAAGTTGATGCTCAACCACTGAGCTACACTGGCTGGGCTGTTTTCATCTTTAATGGGGAAAAATCCATCTCACAGAATCATTAAAAAGATTAGATGAAGTAACATATGTAAAAACACGTAGCACATGTAAGTATTAAAAAGTATAACTATTGCCCTGGCTGGTTTTGCTCAGTGGATAGAGTGTCTGCCTGCGGACTGAAGGGTCCAGGGTTCAATTCCAGTCAAAGGGCACATTCCCAGGTTTTGGGCTCAGTCCCCAGTAGCGGGTGTGCAGGAGGCAGCCAATTAATGATTTTCTCTCATCATTGATGTTTCTATCTCTCTCTCCCTCTTCCTTCCTCTCTCTAAAAATCAATAAAAATATTTTTTAAAAAGTGTAACTATTATTCTCTGAGCTTCCATTTCCTCATCCTTGTAAGGGGAACACTACCCACGGACAGATTTGTGAAGATTAAATGAAATTACATATGTGACATTCCCAGCCCAGTGTCTGTCACTTATAATGTACTCCATAATAGGAGGTATTGTTATCACAAAACAACATCTGGAGAAGTTGGGAATACCACTTCACCTAAGGAAAATCATGCATGCTTGTGTGTGTGTATGTGTGTGTGTGTGTGTGAACAGTCAATACCTATAGCTTACCATTCTTGGAGTTTGAGTCTCCTTTTTGCTGGATCACTGCTTACTCCCCTGGATTGAGGCAAAAGTATACTTAACTGTAATTGGTTTGGTCAAGTGCTGTGATTTAGAGATGCACTCACATTCCCTAATCTCATTTTTACCCACTTGCCTCTAACAGGGATTTTAATCAGCCTCCCCACTGGTTTACTTCACTTCCTGCAATAAAAGAGCACTCCGAAGGGGCAAGAAAGACGCAGAGGTGGTCACGGGGGATCGGCACCTTGGCTGAAATCGACATAGAGCTGTTTTAATAGCAAACGCAACAGATCAGCATCAATGTTTGTAAGTTAGGAAGTCCTGCTTTACTTTAAATTTTCCGTTTTCACTTCAAAACAAATAGCATTCAGTAGGCCTGCAGCCAAGCACGTCAAATATAAAATTAAATTTTATTCTTCATAACTAAGACATTGGACATTTAGGTTCCCACAAAATTGGTAAGTAGAGCTTGGAAAATCTCACCGAGTGGTTGCCAGCCTGGCACTATACCTTCTCATTCATTCATTCATTCATTCATTATAAATGCCAAAGATATTTCATAACCAAGTATTGTACAAAAGTAAAATGCAGTCAGTCCGATGCTCTCAGCACAGCTGAGCGGCACAGAAGCTCAAGTAGTCCAGCAAGGAGTCCCGGAGACTTTTGTGTTTGGTGTGCCGGCCACTGCAGTCATCACACCACACGGATTGTTTTACTTAATTCTCGTGACAATATTGGGCGGTAAATACTGTTGAGATCTCAATTTACGGACTAGGAAACAGGTAAAGAAAAGGCTTTAGTGGGGTCAGCAGGCAGGGGCTCAGTGAGGATTCGCACAGAGGCAGCCTGACCCTAGAGTTCAAGCCCTATCCCCCTCTAAACACCAGAGGGATTAGAGTTTTGTTATTACTGCTCTTTTTGTTTTTGAGACTTCTATTCGCTTATGGAGCTGTCAGCTGCACGGGGAATTCACCCGGAGCCCAGGAATAACGTCAGAGGGTGCTGAATCAGACGGCTCCCGCCTGGTCCCGGGACACCCAGCACCTCTGACTACCCTGGTCCATTCCTCAGGGCGTGGGTGCTGCTCAAGCATTTCATGACCGAAAAGCTGCCATGAAGTGCCTGTTTGTTTTGTTTCTATGGCATTTTCCCAACAGTGGTATCTGGCTGGGTGATTTTCGTTTAGTTATTAACCTCCCTGGTTGTCTCTTTCTGAATCTGTGCTCTGCAGGGTTGGATGAGGTGTTCTCTACTATTCCTTCCAGCTCCACCTATGGAATTCCTAAAAGGCTATTTGATTATTATCTCTGTTTCTCAGCCTCTCCAGGAATCTGCCCCCACCAACACCCCCCCCCCCACTCTTCAACTCTTTCACACACCTCACCCCTTTGTAATTCTTTTCTCCCATTCTCTCTCTTAAAAAAATTTTTTTTCTCTCTCTTGCTTTTTCTTTCTTTCCCCTTTTTCCTTTTTTATCTTTCTGGTATTGTCTTCCCCCCTGACTTCCCTCCCCCTCTTCTTTCTTTCTTCTCCCTGATTTCCTTTCTCTGTGTCTTCACTCTCCTGCCCTCACCCCCTCATCCCCTCTTGTCTGTCTGTCTCTACCTTTGCCTCCCTCTTTTCTGTGTCTCTCTTTCCTCCGAATGTTGTCTTTTCTCCCTCTCTCCCTCACTCCTTTCTTTTTCTTTCTTTCATTGAATTCAGCACACCTTATTTTTTCCTTTCCTTCACTGTTTATAGACAAGCAGATCCTTGGAAAATAACAGAAAGATTGCTCAAAGAAAATTCAGAATGGGTGGACATCTCTTTCAAAAATGAGAAATGAACATTTGGAATAGTTAGAAGTTTGGGCAGTGAAAATATATTATTTTAGTTTCTCTGTGCATCACTGTCATTGTAAATATGACTGAGGTTCAAATGCAATAGAAGCTGTGTTTCTTGGGTGTGCCACATTTTGGGCACCCTTCTCGAATAACCCGAGTTCCTCCCTATAGTAAAAGTAGCACTTACCAATTGGTAGTTTTACTTAAAAAACTTGAAACAAGGAAATAGTCCTCAGAAGGCCCAGACCAAAACCTAAACCTCTGTTAATATATCAAGTTGAAAATTCACAAAGTCTATCAACTAGATTTGGGCTCTGAATGGGCACAGTTGATGATGTCAGTACTTTAACTTACATTATGTCTTTGTACTGTGCAAGTCTATTTTGTGTCTCTTCATCTTCAGTTAAATTACTGCAGGCTTGTTCTATTTTAAAAGGCTTTTCTTATAGCTCACATGTACTAGGTAAAAAACTGTTTTGTTTTGGGTAATGAACCCTTTACCACTGACACATGGGCATCAGTTGGATCCCAGCAAAGTGACGTTAGGGTTGTGTCATTCAGGAAACAACCTTTTTTTTTTTCTAGGCCCCTTTTCTGTGCTAACTGAAGTGTGACTAGCCTTTTTAAAGTCAAACAATATTTGGGTACAACCTTTATTTTAAGTATCACTCCTGCTTACAGAACTTGCTGTTTAAAATTATTGTTGTGGTCTTGGGCTTTATATTGTGTGCTCTTATAAACTTCTAGGCCCTTTCAAAGTTCCCATTTATTGTTTCGCAGAAGGAGAGACTGGTTGCTCAAGTCATCAATATGCATCCGACATTGTTGCATGAGTCATACTACTATTTTCAAGGACATGCAAATAGACCCGTGTTTGGTGTGTAGGGGAGAAAGAATTGACTTTGATTCCTAATTTCTACCAAATTTTTCACAGAGTCTTTGTTAGAGACCTCAGATAGCCATAGCGTTTTAAAGGGGTTTAGTTAATATTGGGGTCAACAGGGCCCCTACCCTCCTCAGAAGCTTGGGGTCCAGCCTCAAAATATACATCAGGTTTGGAATTTAATTTTTGAAAAATAATTTCATAATAGAGTTTTAAATAAAAAAGAGATTTCAGAAGTCTGATCTGACCAGCTGGTCTCCGCACAGAGACCCACAGAACACTTTCTGGTTTGTGCACAACCCCTGTGTGAAAGGACCATGGCTGCTCAGTGCTGGCCTGACCAGCGGCGGAGGTGGCTCTGAAGCCCTCCTGCTGCGGCTGAGCTGGGCTGATGTCTGAAATCGCCCAGGCCCTTGGGAGCTCCAAATTCAGCATAGCTCCACAGGGGCCAGGCAGGACGATCCATGGACTCATTAGTGATGTATGGGATACCCACAGAGGTCTCTTGCACCGGAGACAGAAAGCGTTAGAGGCGAGAACAAACTTAGCTTCTGAAAGACAAATGAAAGTAGGACATGCCATGCAAAGAGCATGCACTCAGTGGGGAGATGAACAAGGAAGAAGACATTGGACCTGCTCTCCAGCACTGGGCCACCAGAGAAAACTGGCTCAGAAAGTCACTGGGGAAGGCGGGCCATCAGCTGCAGCCTCAGTAACCTCGAGACTTCTGCAGAGGTGGGACAGATCCTGCCAACTGCTGTCTTTACAGAGACAGTCATTTTAGTGGCAACGCTTCCCCTCTTTCTTATCAGCTTCATGCTACTGGGAACATCCTATGCTCTTGAGATGGTGTTTCCATGAAGACACAGTTGGCCAGGTCTGTTTCCCCTTCTCATTCTTTTTAAAAACATATATATTTTTATTGATTTCAGAGAGAAAGGGAGAGGGAGAGAGAGACAGAAACATCAATGATGAGAGAGAATCATTGATAGGCTGCCTCCTTCACACCTCATAATAGGGATCGAACCTGCAACCTGGGCGTGTGCCCTGACCTGGAATCAAACCATGGCCTCCTGGTTCATAGGTCAATGGTCAACCACTGAGCTTCCCCTTCTCATTCTGATGCTCTGACAGAGCAAGGCGTCTCACTAGAATTCGATGGCAATCTATGGCTCCTGGTGCAGAATGTAGCTCAGGCTTTATATAATTATAAGCATTGCTGTTCAAACATGAGATGTCATATAATTTGAGTGAAACAAGAATTTGGATGTCCCATCAGCACAGCTGATGTTTTAAAATCAAGTCACCATCAGAGCTGTGGATATATGGTAACTGGGAGTTCGCTTTGTACTGAAAACAACTTTCCAAATCCAGGTCTCTCAATCAAGACTCACATAGCAATGGCCAGTAGATGGCACCATGCGCATCTGATGTCAGATCCCAGGCTGAGAATATTTATCTTCTCAAAGCTCTTCTCAAAATATTAAGCAAAACTTTGACTGAAACGCAACCGTATTTGGACAAGCAGGTTTATTTTACTTTGGTGCTTTGTTATTAGAAACATGCATATGTGTGTGTATATATTTTACTACCAAACCCTAAAGTTATGGAAAGTATCCTTGATAGGATGGACTGTAAACTTTTACAGTATTATTTGTGGGCAAAATTTTCAATTTCTTATTTAAACTAATTTTTTTCTTAATATGAGGTTTCGTGGTTATGTGTCATATTATTGCTCAGTAAAACTCAGGAGAACGTTTTTCATGATCTAACTATTCCTGGAAAGGAAACTCACTCATACAGGAAGCAGAAATGGAGTGCAGCACATTGCGTGTGTGTTTTTAAAAGAACAATGTAAATAAATGTCTCTGTTCTAATGAATACTTCTGTATGGAGATATGCACACAAGTACATACAGCTCTTGATCAAGATGAACAAATATACAGATATGGTTTTAGTATAAGAATGCCACCCCCATCTCAGACTCCACTCCACCCCCAAACCTAAAGGCTTTAGAATAGGAAATGACTCTTAGAATTCGATTGTAGATATAGCATTCAGAAAGGAAGCTATTCCTTAACCAAACAAGCCATTACTGTGGGTGGAAGTCTGAACAAAATCAGCTATCTCTTTGCTGGTATACTCCTTGCTGGGTAGACAGTCAAACAAGGCATGGTGGAGGACAAACAAAAACTACAGGGCAGTTTGGAGGGTCAAAGACTGAAGCCAAACACCAAAACTATATTTGGAACAGAAGCAAAGTCGGGGTTCAATTATTAGAAGGGTATTAGGGAGAGTCACCAAAGTTCTAGAGGAGTGGTTCTCAACCTTCCTAATGCCACGACCCTTTAATACAGTTCCTCATGTTGTGGTGACCCCCAATTTCATTGTTACAAATTGAACATAATTAAAGCATAGTGATTAATCACAAAAACAATATGTAATTACATATGTGTTTTCCGATGGTCTTAGGCAACCCTGTGAAAGGGTCGTTCGACCCCCAAAGGGGTCGTGACCCACAGGTTGAGAACCACTGTTCTAGAGGCACCCGAAAGAGGAGAAACCATGGTAACATTCAGGAGTGAAGACAACGGTGCACA